CATTGTTGTAGAGGTTTTGGGATATTTTAAAGCAAACCTCTTACATAGCAGAATTGATACAGGAGTGACAGTGACGCTGCCACGCTTGGCGACTGCCAATATCGTCCATGCCAGAATCCGTCACTAACTATTCCTTTCACAGATGTGTGTAATAAGTATATATAAAACCTGTGCTGTAATTTAAAAAAATGGAAAAATTGGTACTTTCTGAAAGATCCCCCATGACTAAAGTTCTGTGCCAGGGGCGATTCTAGGATTTCAGTCTTGACCCGATCTTCAGACCAATAATCCTGGCTGTAAGTGTGAGAGGTCACACGGTTGAATCTCTTTTGACTTTTTTAATATATACAGTATTAATATGTCATGCATTTAAGTCAGCCCGGTCTCGTCCCAAGGCATATACAAGTCATATACTGATGCTTTTCATATTTCGTCTACATCAAATGCATACATACATGGCACCCTTTAGCGTCAATATGAGGCACAGATATATATGGGCCAGAAGGCGCCTCCTAGTGGTGTAACCCTAACCCTACCCCAGACCTAAACCTACTTATAACCGAAGCGTGTTATATTGACGCTAAAGGGTGCCATGTGCGTTGTATTTAGATGAAATGTCAAAAACGTCACTATATGACGCCCTAGGATGAGAATGCGTTGATTTCAGTAGATAGTATGAGCAAAAGTGGTATTTGGTAGTATTTTATATTTTTAAGGGGGAATGAAGAATGGAGTTGTGACAGCTTCATGTCAAGCATTGCCACTGTGCGTTGCTTATGACCAGGTCCACTATAGACTAGAGAAGGATAAAACGTATTAGGGTTTGTGATTACTTCACATTTTCTTCACATTTGCTAAACAATAACTATAGCAGGCTATGTGAGGTTATTTCAGTCCTTTCAATGGTTTAACAAAACGTTCAGGTTTGTTTAATTAAAGGGATATTGCACTAGGGGTTGGGGATCTCTAGGCACCTTTTCAGTATAGGATTCAGAGGGATGCGGTGCAATGATAAAATGATTGTCATTGCATCGAATTATTCTTATTGGGAGGATACTGGGAGTGGGAATCTTTAGACACCTAACAATCTGATTCTGATTCTGGGATTCACGATTCAATTTCAAAATGATTCTTTATCTACATTTTCTATTATCATTATTATTGAATTAGTCTATACCGACTTTAAATTGTACATTCATTTGTATATTTTATTTAATTGCTTAAAAGTTTCATAATTGGATATATAGGCCTAATGAATTCCGAACAATATAAATGAATGCCTTCATAGAGCATTTTGAGGGGAAAACACTGAAATGCCAGCAAGTGAGATTGCACATTGCAAGTGTAATATTAAGCAACCTCACGTTTCCCACTGTGCAATTAAGCTCTTGATTTCCATTGTAATTTGCTTCAACCTTTTCAAACTAAATAGAAGATTATCTTATGGAAGGACGAGGGGGTTTTTGTGTGTTGAAGTTTCTAAGCAAGCAGAATCTGACTGTTTCTAGAGCGCATCTGCAGTGAAACTCAGTTTCAGAATCGTTGAAGAGAGAATCACAATGCATGAGAGAATAGACGTTTCTCCCGACTTATAGTTCCCTAAAAAAATTTAAAGTCTGCCAACCCTCATGCTGGACCAAACCTGACTTGCTTTCCTCTGTAAAGATATTTTTAAGAATATACCATTTTGGTTACCGATTCCATTGAATGGACAGCAATTAAATGGGGGGTGAATTCAAGGTGATTGGGAAACGTTTTTCCTCTGAGATGACTTGAATTCACCCTGAATTCACTCCTAAATACTGAGACATTTTTGTTTTCATTTTTGGGTACACTATCCCAAAAAAAACCCTCTTTTTAATTGCTATGAGAAAGGGAGATATAACCTCACATATCTTACTATACTCACTTCTCAAGCAAACATGAAGGGTGGCGACAGCTGATTTAATCACAGACTAGGGGTGTGGCGATACCCTCATGTCACAATTCAATACATATCACGATACTGAACTCAAGTTACAATATTATTAAGATACTCCAAGACATATGATAAAAGGTTAACAAAAATGTACTGTTGCCAACTTTGATATTACATTGTGTTTAAATGAATAGGTTTGGACTCGGTGCTTGTAAACCAAGGACAATGGTGACACCAGAATAACAGTATTCACAATTCTGAAGCTGAAAATATAGAATTATTTTAGATGAATATGATTGCTCACTGACTAGATATATTTAAAATGAAGTCAGCCACTGGTAACAAAAGACATTTGGCATTAAATATTTCCGCATTGCACTATTATACATTATAATCAACATTATGTATAGTAGTTTAATGTAGTACTGACACTAAAACTCTGGAAAAAAAATTATTTATTTTTATTTTGGGGGAACTACCGTAATTCCTCAAACAAAAACTGGTATTCTCAAATATACGCTGGGCCTCTGATAGTGACCGGGTGCGTGATCAACAAATTAAGGCCAGGGGAAAATTGATGTGGGTAATCTCCTAAATGCCTTTCGTTGAAGAGATGTTACACCAGTCCACTTCATGCGTGTTCTGTGATCTGATGGCTATCTGATCATGAAAAGACCACATATTGTTTATTAAACTGTTGTAGTAACTTAATATCACATTTTAATCATGCTGATTTTTGGAGGAGAAAAACTGAAATGGAACTCTTCGTGTGATATTGATTAACTACATAAAATGATATAAATATATACATTTTCTAACCCCCATATCTTGAATTTTGTGATCAGTCACATGCGTTCATAAATACATTTTAGGGTCTTGATGTTTGTTAATAATATGAAATATTTAATCTAGAAAGGACAAAACAAATGATTATATAGAACTTTTTTCCTGGTTACAAAGAACCCTCAATGGTTCTTATTATTGAACCCTTTATTTCTTATTATTGAAATAGTTCTGTATAGAACCTTTTAGGTGTTCCAAATACGTAGCGCTGATAGAACCTTTTAAGGTTCTACAACCTTTTCTTCTAAGAGTGCAATGTGTAAACTATTTATCAGAAACTTTCATTTTTAGTTTTTTCAATAACCATGCATAAACAATATTCTCTCAAAAATACAAACATGTTCATACATGTTGCTCACATAATATGGTAGCCCTGTTTGTGATAAATATAGTGTAATTTCACCTTTGCCATTAATATGTTTATAAGCAACTGAAAAAAATCACAGATGTCAGGGCATGGCAGAACATCTCAAGGACCCCAAATACACCTTGGTCCCTAGGGGGTTAAAGTAAAAGTCGCAGACAATACTCCTCATCATTAAAAGTAAAGAAAGGAAATGATCATACCAGGCCTGTTGCAGCTCTCTTTTATTGTGGTCTTTTGATTTTGAAATTAGCTGATCTATCAAATGTAGCTCATACCTGTTGCTTTCGGTGACGTGAACTTCATTAAATCTGCATATTGAAGATTTATATCCGGAAGCAGTTTTGAGTAGAATTGTTTTGATAAATCAGATTTCCAATCTGAGAAAAACGCATGAAGTGGCCAGGTGTAAACATCCCCTAATGTGCATTCAAGTTCATCGTAACGTGCAGCCAATAGATGATAGTAGACAATAGATGTAACACATGTATAATTTAGTATAACAGTCTTTTCAAATTCATTTTCAACAATTGAAAATTAAATTGCCTTGAGGAGCATGGAACCTGATTTTGATTTGGATTTTTCTTTAAAAAAAGGCCTGTCTCTAATAAAAGCCTTCTTCAAATAAAAGCCTGTTAACTTCTGCAGTTTAGGTAAATAAAGGGCCCCGGCTTTTATTTACGGAAATATGGTATCCACGATACATATTGTCACTATCCACGATACGTATTGTTGCATTTTGTATATGTTGTGGCACATTATATTGTTACAGACCCTAAATAAGTTTTAGAAATGTCAATGGTCTGCACAGATATCAAACCTCTCAGTGTCTCCCGGTCCTGAAGTGGTCTGACATCCCGCTCTGTCGGATTACACATCGCAAGCTCTAGCATCAGACGTGACTCAAAGAAACTCCCAGAAAATCCCATGATTGTTTAAACATACATCCTTCCGCACTGAAAGTACCATTTTGAAGTACCCCACATTTCCAAACGCAAAGGTCAGTTTCAGCAGCCTGTCAGACCAGATCAGGTTGTGTGAATGAATCTCTCAGAGTAACTCAGAAACTACTGTATGCAAACATCAGTTCTGACAGGAGTCAGATTTGATATTGTATCTCTCGTATGAACAAGTTAGTATGTGTAAGGCTGAGAACTTCTTTCTGTTACTCTATGGCCTCTGATACAGCCTAACTAATAGAGATTACAGGCTAGTCAGTTGTGAACCGCATTAGGTCAGTCACATTCCAACTTTTCCCCCTGAACTGAAGGGCACATGGGAGAAGCAAGAACTCTCGCCCGGTGTAAATTCACATCATGTCCTGGGCTGACTCACAGAGGCGGGGTGTATGTAGGTAATTTACTAAATGGAGGCAGTAACAGCGATGATTTATTCAAAATATGACACTGGTAATATCGTCATAACATGGATCAGCGTGAAGGGAAACGGCGAGGGGACGTTAAATAAATCAGCCAGGCTGTGTTGCTGCACCAGAATACATGATGGATATTAATACACCTGTTTTTACTGTCTGTTGTTCCATTAAATCCACATTTGATGGGTATTGTTTGGAGTTCATCCTATGTCCCCTAACACCATGGAATTTGAAAAAATTAAAGCAACGAACGACGCGACACGACTCGGCTCTGTCGATTTCGCTGCTGTCCGGACCAATCATTTTGCAAATGCCAGATCCGTATTAATGCACGTTGAGCTTTTACGGCAGCAGTATGTCCATGTGGTGTTCTCGAGAGCTGCAAAATGTTAACTCAATTTCTTTATATACTAATAGTAGTTGACGTTTTGATTACTAGCTTTGTGCTTGTGTTACTCCATTTTTCCCCAATGTTGCATGATTTTATTTCCCATCTCTAGCGGAGTGCGGCTCATCTGTCATCAACAATGAAGGGATTCTGCTGTCACCGAATTACCCCATGAACTACGAGAACAACCACGAGTGTATTTACAGCATACAGGTGCAGGCTGGGAAAGGAATCAATATTTCGGCTAGAACCTTCCATCTGGCCCAGGGTGACATCCTGAAGGTAATTCAACACAGTTACAGTGCTGCAAAACACAGGAGTGTCATGCAACGCTTTTTTGGCACCGGCTACTTACACTTACAGTAGTGTAAATAGTGATGTTATTTACACTACAGGTCTTGATGGACAAATCCGATTTCCTGACTATATCAGATTTTTTGACGACCCGCTTTCATCGGGAAAATGAAGTAAAATGAAATACAATTGATGCAGATGCAAATAAAATTAACAATAAAACTATAAAATTACTAAAATAAATAAAATTACTGTTTTGCTTTCCATAATATTTTAAAAGTCATCAAAAATGTCAACAAAACATTGGTCTCGTCCGACGAAGAGAAAGAGGAGAGCACATATCTCCATATCTTGTGAAATGTTTTCAAACACGGATTTATTTCTGTAACAACCCTGCATTTTTGCCCGCAAAAAAAAAGGATACACACTTTTTTAAGGATGTACGACTCGCATTTACTGGGGAATATCCGATTTGTCTGCTTACATGGCACAAGCAAACGCACATATCTGATTTATTGCCACATATGAGTGAGGCCTGAATCCGATCTGAGAAAATACGATCTCAGTTTTTTCCTGCTTACACGTTCACCGGTCATATCCGATCTGTGCCACGTGAGAGGAAAAAATTGGATTTAACCACTTATGCAGTATAACAAAGGTTGTGTAAATAGTTGTTAGATTCTATTTATACTTAGTGTCAGATATTATTTGTTCATTTTTTATTATCATATTTGTTTAGTATATTATAAAACATTATGCAATAATAAAAACATACTCAGTGTATTTTATTGTATTTACTTAAAACCCTCCTCTACCCTTAAAACTACCTGATAAACACTTTATTCACACTATTAAATACCTGTTAGGCAATTTATTTGCACTTTTCTGATATTTTCTTATTTTTGTATTTTTTAAATGCCTCTCTGAGCTGATATAACGGGGAAAGTGGATTTGTCTGCTTGTCATCACATAAGTTAAATAAATTAAACAATGTATTCAATTTAGTCACGGTAAGTCACCCTCACCATTATAACTTACTTCATATATAATACAAAAGGTAAAGCTTTGAAGAATATCCATGCCATTATTTTACAGTATAATAAAAGTTAATGTTGACTGGGTTGGTCAAACATTCAAAAAATATGCTAAATCCCCGTTAAAGTATCACTTACAGCTGGGGTACCCTATATTTCAAGGCTACTTAATCAGACAGAAATTTAAGTTATTAATCACTGATGATCTTCCACTCCAGTGAGCTGTTAACCATAACAACTGGATCATTGAGTCAGTGAAATGAACTCTGGATCATTATGATTTCTGAACTTTACATTACATTTAAATGTATGCATTGGTCAGTCGCTTTTATCAGAAGCAAATTACAGTGAACGCCCAATGATAGCTACAGTATAGGCTGGATGTCAATATTTTAAAAAATAAAATAATTCTATTTCAGTCTGTTCCTCAAACAAAGACGGTTTCAGAAGACTGGAAATGTTGTGCATGTCATATGGATCACTTTAACTGGCATTTTAAACTAAAATCCTCATTTACTTTCATTATTTTGTAAGAAGTGGATAGGGTACATTGATGTTCCACTGAATAAAGAAAGTTAGACAAGTATTTAGTGTGAAAAGGGACTTCTTGGTGTGTTAGGTTAGGGTTACCTGGTGTGTTTTTTTTTTTTTTTTTTTTTTTTTTAAAAAATATATTTAACAATCAATTTAAATGAACATTTTCATGAACATCACTTAGATTTTTATTCATCTATTCATCCTTTTTTCTTATCTCTAAATTTTGGCAATATTTGTTTTTGATGACCCTAAAAGTTCAGAATCAAAACATCAGAATATGAGGAAAATATTTTATATTGTCGAAATATTGTAAATATGAGGAAAGAACTTGGTAACTTGGTAAGGTATTTATCTGACAAAAAAAAAAATCAAACTACAGCTAAGTTTTATTTTACCATGCAAAAAACATGCATAGAAAACATTTTTTATTTCTATAGCGCTTTATACAATACAGATTGTTTCAAAGTAGCTTTATTATGTGACTAAGAGAGGGTCCTGCAGATGTTGATAAACATAGAGAAAGAATCGTATATGATTATCTTAGACAGACTGTTCAAACGATATTGTCGGGATATATACCACAAAACAAATGAGGTTGTTTTTTCTTTTGATCTTGCTCTTGCTTTATGATCTACATTTAATCTTTCTGCCTCCCAGATCTATGATGGTAAAGACAACAGTGCTCACATGCTGGGAGCCTTCACAGGTTCGTCTATGCTGGGTCTGACCCTCATCAGCACCTCCAATCACCTGTGGCTGGAGTTCTACAGCGACACCGAGGCCACTGGAGAAGGCTTCAAACTGGTTTATTCCAGTACGTTATTACACTGCACACACTTCTGCACCTTAGTAATAAAGACACCAAATAAAGTGCCTGTTTTAATAAAGAGTGCCTGTCTTATAAGGGTCATTCACATAGCAGGTGAAGTGACAGGAAGAAAGCAGCAGGTGGAATGTAATTGCTTTATTTTGATCAACTGAGTGATATATTTAATATCAACATATCTTGCATAATGCCACATTGGCCATTAGTGATTTTCTTGTTTATAGAGAGAGTAAAACATTTAAAGGGATAGTTCACTTTGAAATTAATTTTTGGTATGTTTTAGCTTAACTCAAGGGCATCCACTATGTAGGTGTCTTTGTTTCCGCAGTAGTTTCAATGTTGATATTTTTAGGTTAAACCGTTCTTGTCTGTCAATCATATAATGGAGGTCTATGGTCACCACCTCAAAGAGCATGCACAGAGAAGTCCAAATTAAACATGATTTAATGACTCGTAAATGTAAGTACACATTGATGGCCTAAGACACGAAACGAGCGGTTTGTGTGAGAAAACGAACAGTATTTATATCGTTTTACCTCTTGTAACCACAGCCACGTCAAAGTGATGTGAGGGCGTGTGGCTGTGGTTACAAGAGGTAAAAACTATATAAATACTGTTTGTTTTCTCACACAAACCTATCCTTTGGTGTCTTAGGCCATCAATGTGTACATGCATTTATGAGTCATTAAATCATGTTTAATTTGAACTTCTCTGTGCATGCTCTTTGAGGTGGTGACCATAGACCTCCATTATATGACTGACAGACAAGAACGGTTTTTCTTGTCTTGGAAACTACTGTGGAAACAAAGACACCTACATCTTGGATGCCCTTGAGGTAAGCTAAAACATACCAAAAATTAATTTCAAAGTGAACTATCCCTTTAAGACTTTATTTATTGTATGTATTTATCCGAGCCAATGTTTCCCAAACTGCTACCACAGTTCTGTCCTGTCGAGCCATAAATTCCAAATAATGGTACATTGATGGATGAATTTGTCTTTAATTGCAGTTTATATGGTGTGTGTTTTTTTTTTCTGTGGATGTTCTGCGGTGGACTGTGAGCAATTTGCGGTATTTTGATGTTTGGCCTCGTTTTAAAGTTTTTCTTCTCTTGAAAGCATTTGTGTTTCAGTGTATTGCCTGATGCAATACTTCAGTATGTGTGCAGTTGTCATATCTCATAGAAAAAAAGGTTCAATGTGGTTCAATCGCTACGGTTTTTGACTAAATTTTAAAGAACTTTGGTTGTATATACAGAGAAATGTCTTAAATGATTGCTTCATTTAATTTCTTTCTTTACGAGCGGTTTAATTCATCAAATTGAATCAAAATAAAAAAGTCAATCTATAAAAATCCTCTATGAACCCCTAAAACGCTATATATGAATTGCCCGACGAAACCCATATAGAACCTTTTCTGGTTACACTTTATTTCGATAGTCACTAGACGTTCTACTAATTATAAGTAACTTTTCAACTACATGTCAACTAACTCTCATTATTAGTATATTATAGTAGACTGTCAGTAGACTGTTAGCTTATGGTTAGGTGTTAGGGTTCGGGTTAGGAGAATAAGTTTACTTGTAGTCGCCAAGTTACTCATAGTTAGTTAAATGTCTGTTGGGGGACCAACAAAATAAAGTGTTAGCAGATATTAAACAGACAGTGTACTAATACTCTAATGACAGTTAGTTGACATGTAGTTGAAAAGTTAAAAGAACATTTTAGAGATATTTAAAACTATATGCACCCTAAAAAATGCTGGGTTATTTCAAGCCAAATTTGGGTCAATTATGGACAAACCCAAATGTTGGGTTAAAAATGTAATTAAAAAATATACAGTTGAAAGAAGATCAACAACATTTGGGTTTGTCCATATTTTACCCAATTTTGGGTTAAAACAACCCAGCATTGTTTAGAGTGTATAGCTGAATAATAGATTATATGCTGTAGCTGATCAGTTATTGATGTTTAGGAGTATTTAGATAACTTTATATGTAGTATTTGTCAAGAGCATATTGTATAATTATATTGTACATGCTACATACAGCAATGTCTAGAAATGTAAATTTCCACAAACTGCTCCTTATCAGTGTTGCTTATTCTTGGTGCTGCTGCTATTTTCTGTCATTTTGAAGCATAAACAAGGCTTTAATTGGCAATACTATCAATAATTCATCAACTGAAGGAGAATACACTCTGCAAATAAAAAGATGCATGTTTAGTTCAGTCAGGAAACTCTGATTGGTTCTTAATGCAAACTTCTTAATCACCTAACATGGTGCGGATTGTGTAACTTTTAAATAGTTGGTTCCGTGTTTGCCCAGCTCCACCTGTACAGATTTGCTATGAGTATTTTCATGTTATGTGCAGCAGCGACATGTCTTGCTCATTGCAGCATGACTGTGGACGTATTGGCAGTAGCAAGTCTCCAAACGTGCAATTCCAACAGATTTGGCATCCTTACAACTCGAAAACCAATAGATAAGAAAAGCTGTTTAACACAGGAAAGACATAACAAAAGCATGAGAACATCTGAAACAATCAGCTCAAAGGGATTATCAGGAAGTGGACCAGGAGAAACATGACTGTGTCTCCACTGACCTTGGCTTTGTTGGCCCAGAGCCAGAGTTGTGCAGGCACTTGGTCTGAATTTGGTGCGCTTTAATGCTATTGTGCCCACAGTGTGGGATTCAACAAGGTTTAGTTCCACTGGGGGGTAAAGTATTAACCTGCTGGTGGGCTATCTCATTTGAAATCGACTAAATCCCGGTCTGTCCACGACTCCATTCCCCCTGAAGGATTAGCCATTTGAGTGTATAATAAAGGTCAGAGAGAGACAGAGAAGCCAGTCCACCTCCAGTCACTAGATGTTGAAATAGAGACCTGTTCAGGACAGGCTGGTGAATGTAGCTGATTAAAATAGCATTGTTTATTTGGTCGAGCTCTAATCTCAACCCAAGCGTGCTGTGAAGCCGTGACCTGTAATCAACTAGCAATCAAAGCCGGGTGTCAGATTTTAGTGAAGTTGTTGTGTTTATCTGTACTTAACAACTCGCAGCTTCCCCTATACACTTCCCCTATGTGGTCTTCTTAAAGGTGTGATTTTGTTTTTTGACCATTTTTTATTTTTTTTTCAAAATCACTTGAAATCCTATTCCTAACCCACTTACAGCCACTGAGTTAGAAGCACTGAAATGAAAATTAAGGAATTTAATTATTTGTGGTACGGGCAGGACTCAAAACTCCAGCCAATCATTTCCAAGACCACCTAGAACCATTGGACTGTAAGTGCGTCAATCAAATGAATGGCTGGAGTCAGGGCCAGCTGGCTGTTTTGCAAATCCCATACCCCACCTTTATAGTTTACTTTAAAAAAAAAAAAAAACTTTTTCTGATAATTTACTCACCCCCTTGTCATCCAAGATGTCCACATCTTTCTTCAGTCGAAAAGAAATTAGGAGTGAGTTTCGATTTAGCTAAACTTTGGTGGAAACACTTTAATTTCGCGTTGCAGAGCTAAAATGTGGAAATTGATAAATGTTTTTTTAGTTAAAAAGCATTATATAATGCTTGACATCATAATATATACATTTTATTAGTTGAAAAGTTACGTAACTTTGATTCATACTGTGAAATTTCATATACAGGACCCTCCATAAATGTTTGACAAAAAAAGTGTGTATCAAACTAAGTGCCTTGTTTTTAAAAGAAGCGTGTGTAATGTTTTATAATTTTTTTAATTCACTTTTCAATTCATATGCCATTGAAAATTTAACGTGACCTATTTGTCTGCATACTTTTTGGGGCCACTGTATGTTAATATTTGCATGCATATATAATTATAAAAATCTAGTGTATGTTGATAACTTATTAATAAAGATGATTGGCGTAAAATAATGCTTTGAAAAAATAGTACTTAATTAAAGTTCTGTGATATACCGAGTGAGCTGCCATTTGTTTTCGGCTATTTCTGAGTGCTGGCTGTATAATGATAATGAGTCATTGCTACACAATTAATAACAAGATGTGTCACACAGTGAGTGGGTCTGTGCTTTGGTTCTGATTATGGCTCTCCAAATTAACCAAGCACTTGATCTTAATTGTTCTGCCTGCTTAGCAAGGGGCCGTCTCTGCCTACCAGCCCAGTAGGATCTTAACTTCAAATTGTTGCTGTTAATGATCACATTAATGGCAAACTTTTACAGCTGTGCCACAGAGCAGCATGAAAATACCAGGCGAAGGAAGATTTCTGCAATATTCGCTATAATGACCTCATAAAGCTCATCATGTTCTCAATCATATTCCAAATCCAGTCTTACTGAACTTATCATAATTTTTGGCATTTATGACATACTTATGGAGGGATATGGTCTAAAAAGTACAATAAAAGCAATCATCTTCAGAAAATATTGACATTTCTGGATGAATCAGCCATCACTTCAATTTAACAGTCATAATGTCTTTCAGGTTTTGAGCTCTCTCACTGTGAGGACCCTGGGGTGCCCCAGTTTGGCTTCAAAGTCAATGACCAGGGCCACTTCTCCGGAAGCACCATCACCTACAAGTGTGACCCCGGATACACTCTCCACGGCAGCGGTGTGCTCAAATGCATGACGGGCGAGAGGCGGGCCTGGGATAATTCTCTTCCTTCCTGCATTGGTAAGACTTTTCAAGACTGTTCAGCAGTTCAAACTGTGTAGAAAGGATTTTCGGTAAATTATAAGTGTACTTTAAAGCAGGGTCGAAAGTCACAAAATGAGTATGGTCTTCAAAGGTGAAGTTTGTAGTTTCTGCACTAGTGGCATCTAGCGGAGTTACACATATAAAGCACATTTTCAAACAACCTTGCAAAGTGCACTTGTCGAAGTTTTGGACCCGAACTCGCTCGGACCTCGGGTTTTCTGATCTTAATGGAGCCGTGAAGACCTCAACAGGTCAAAGTAGGCCACTTTCAATACTTTCAAGGTCCAACATATTCTATACATTTAGTTGTGTTGCTATGTGTCATGATATGCTCTGTTTAGAGTGAATGCAGGCATCAGTGTCTGTTGGTTGTTGTTTATGGTATGGTATGGTACAGGTATGGTATGGTATGGTATGGTGTGTTATGTTATGTTATGTTATGTTATCTTATGGTATGGTATGGTATGGTAAGGTATGGTATGGTATATGTTATGGTATGGTATATGTTATGTTATGTTATGGTGTATGGTATGGTATATGGTATGGTATGATATATGGTATGGTATGTTATGGTATGGCATGGTATGTGTTATGTTATGTTATGTTATGGTATGGTATATGGTATGGTATGGTATGGTATGATATATGTTATGGTATGGCATTGTATGGTATATGTTATGTTATGTTATATTATGGTATGGTATGGTATGGTATGGTATCGTATGATAAATGCTATGGTATGGTATGGCATGGTATGTGTTATGTTATGTTATGTTATCTTATGATATGGTATGGAATGGTATGATATATGCTATGGTATGGTACGGTATATGTTATGGTATGGTATGGTATGGTATGTTATGGTATGATATGGTATATGTTATGCTATGTTATGTTATGTTATGTTATGTTATGTTATCTTATGGTAATGGTATGGTATGGTATATGGTTTGGTATGATATATGGTATGGTATATGTAATGTTATGTTATCTTATGGTATGGTATGGTATGGTATGATATATGGTATGGTGTGTTATATGTTATGTTATGCTATGGTATTGTATGATATGGTATGGTATGTTATATGGTATGGTATATCGTATGGTATGTGTATGGTATGGTATACGTTATGGTATGGTGTGTAATATGTTATGTTATATGTTATGTTATCCTATGTTATGTTATGTTATGGTATGGTATGGTATGGTGTGGTATATGTTATGTTATGTTATGTTATGTTATGTTCAGTGTTGTGCAAGTGACTTCCAAACTGTAATACATTAGGTATTACTTGTTACTGTTATAGTAATTCATTACCTTACAATATTACTGTCTCAGAATTGTAATGCGTTACATTACTCATGTATTACTTTTGAGTTACTTTCACCAAAATAACTAAGTAGAACTTAACTTTGGGGCTGTAACGATATGCAATATGAAACCGAAATCGCGATTCGCCACACTCAGATCCACGAACCTACAGAATCGCAACACACCTCTTCCAACTCCCAGCGTTATTCTCCTTACCGTCCAGATCCAATGCTGCCTTATCTTTAAATTAGGCTATTAGTATTATTTGAAGTTAACATTATAAAATACTTAGACCTACACCACAAAACTAGTTGAGGATAAATTATTTAAAATTGGGGAAGTTCAGCATTATGGACATGACATTTGTAGTCAAAACTTGAAATAAAAATTTTCAGAAAATACATGCATTGAAACGTACATATAGGCTACTTCCTTAAAGGACTCCAGACATTAGACAAATATCAGTCTATGTTTTATTTTTAATATTAGGGAAAAGACAAACATTCACGCATGACAAAAAAATAGGAGGCAAAATATATTTTTTGTAATTCTGTTAATTACACTGCGCAAATCGGACGAGGAAGGGCTGGCTCTGCTGTCTCCATAGAACTTAAAATATTCATTTTATTTTAGTTTTCGTGTTCGCATTTATGAGGAAAAAACAATGTTACAGACGCGACCGCTCTGAACTGGCACTAAAAGACTGCTTTAAAACTTTCACATAGTCTGTTGCGTTTAAGAAGTAAAAGCAGACAATACACTGTAATACAACTGTAATACAAGCCTCACTGAACATGTAACGAGAAAAATATTACTGAAAATTGATTAGTAATGCCTTACACTACTGCGTTACAGCAAAAAGTAATATGTTACTGTAATGTATTACTTTTGTAATGCGTTACTCCCAACACTGGTTATGTTATGTTATGTTATGTTATGTTATGTTATGTTATGTTATGTTATGGTATGGTATGGTATGGTATGGTATTGTATGGTATGATATATGGTATGGTATATGGTATGGTATGTGTATGGTATGGTATATGGTATGGTGTGTTATATGTTATGTTATGTTGTGTTATGTTATGTTATGCTATGTTATGTTATCATATGGTATGGTATATGTTATGTTATGTTATCATATGGTATGGTATATGTTATGTTATGTTATGGTATGGTATGGTGTGTTATATGTTATGTTATGTTATGTTTGAATTGAAAGATTTATTTAAGGAAAAAAATAATAAGCTGTTAATTTAGGTTACCAGACTGTGAACCTCTTTTCAAATATCTTTTATCAAAGTTTTTATTAAAGTTCATAGTATCCTTCATAACAATAATCTAATATCCTGCATGAATATTTTAGTACTAATATAGACTAATACCACCATGTATGTGGCCATGAATTCAATAACGCCTTCAGCACTATAAGTAGCGTACATGCAAAACGAGTGTGCATAATTGTTACAAATGGATCATTGTTAACAGTGCAATGTATTAGTCCATCCATTTACAACCAGAGCTTAATGTAGCATTACAAATATGTGGGAAACGCAGAAGTTTCCAGGTTATGCTGTACACTGATTTTCTGTCATATACTTTCACTGATGTTCTTTCTGGAGGAAAGGGGGATAAAATGTGCAAATGTATGAATGGTTCAGGTTAAACGCACAACTATAATTTAGATCTAAATGAATATATTCATTTAAAAATTGTTATGTGTAAAATGCAAGAAATATCAGGTAAATTCATGATTGTCAAATATTGTAAATAGTGAGTGGAGTGCATGGAGAATTTTTCTTTTCTTGGAAACCACATTGAAACTTGGTTATTAGCGAGTATGCATCATTCCAGCCTGATCTCTCCTCGTGGTTATCATAACTGAGCTCAGTGTTGCTCTCAGCCATTTGTCATAATTATGCGAGGCTGCAGTATAAGCCCCTCCCCATCTCTGTAGCTAGCAAAGCTGCAGCATTGCTCATATTCTGCACTGGAAAAAGCACATTAAAAGGCCACGTTATGCTTATACCTTCTAAATAGTCCAAAGTGTTTCTTGACAACATTAGCAGTGGTGGAAGCCCTCGCTCTATCTGTGTCTAATGGTGCGGGGTGTTCATATTGTAGCTGATGCTGGGGCTCCCGTTTGAGCTATGGAGATGATTCTTCATCAAGCAAAGCACATGAGGGCTTGAGATAAAACTGTGTGCTGCTATTACTTTCTTCATTTACCTGATGAATGGTGATTATGGGGATTTAGCCTCCATTGAGTTGGATATTGCTATGTCGACTGACCCCAGATCAGATTTGCTCACTATTAGATTTAGTCTTAATGAGCTCTGATTAGACTCAAAGCGCTCATCCAAATTGCTTCCGCACGGCAGACATAGATAAAACACAATGGCTATCCTGTTGTGTTTAACACAGAGCATGTCTTTACTCGCATTTATGTCATTTATGTGTCAGAACCGACGGCTGGCTTGCAAAATACTAATCAGACTTATCTGCCAGCATTAATAATAGATACTTAATAATGTGGAGGATATTTCACTTCCTTTGACAGGCGGAAAGTGCGGGTCATTTGATGTGACCTTTAGCGAAAGTGAGATATATCAAAATAGCGAGAAGGCCTATCCATCTTGCAGTTCCTTTTTTTATTACAGATAAAATATTTAACTATTTTTATATTTTTCATTCAAGTCCTCAGGTAAGGTGTGTGAATGAGCCATTTCTGCAGAGGAAAGCTACACCACCGCAATGCTAAATCAGCATTCTCCTCAGTCACAAACACAGCTAGGCAACCTATGGCTAAGCCACGCCCTCAAACGTGATGGGCCAATCACAGTGCGCAGCTAACCCAATACACTCGGACATTCTCTGCTTCCACGTCCATTGAAATGCATTGCAGTTAGTCAGTTCGTTTTTTCTTGTCATTTTAAGTTTAAAATGGTCAAACGGCGTGCATTGGGTGCATGCATCTATGATACTAGGTTCCCGAGAGGCTGAGCGACGACGGTGTGTGTTTATTTACCCTTTCCCAAACCACATGTTAAACGAGATAAGTGTCTGCTCTGGATTAAGATATGCGGTAGACCACGACACTAAACATGGATAAATTAAACAAGGATGTCTACATTTGTTCTAAGTTGAGTCAACAACGTATTTGAACGTCATCTTTAAAATATCTAACGTAACGTTAGGCTAACGTTAGCCTAACATTAGAAAACGTTAAAGGGGTCATGAACTAGCTTTTTAAATTTTATTATATTGTTGTCTGAGGTCAACTTATGACGTTCGCTTGGTTTTTGCATTCAAAAACATCAAAATGAATAAGTAATAGGCTATTTTGTACCCAAGTTGTGAGCCTAGCTGAAAAACGATCGTTTTTTATGCGCATGTCGAACTGAAGACTTGAAAGTAAACGACTTTGGCAACCGGATTCGCCGATACATGTTCGACCCAGAGTCCGTGTGTTGCACAATTCCTACCAGATCCAATATAGATGGCACAGCACCGTTCTTTACTCTTAATCGGTTTGCAAATCCAGTCTTGTTTACAAAACAATCCACGAACAGACAATGATGTTTTACCTCATCAGCTGGAACGTCATTAAAAATAAAGTTTATCCATGAAGTCCTATTGGAATCAAGAGGAAGCATATGCGGCGACTGTTTTCTTCCACAACCAGGCTCTGCACAGTATTCTGTATTGCTCGGTAGCTCGATCCGGTTTGTCATCACGAGGTAGGCATGTATGTTAGGCTACTTAGCTATGCGTGTAATGCGCGAATCGGTGGGCGGGGCTAAACCGGCCGTGTTGAAGTAGGTGTTGATCTTCTTCTGCGGGGGTGGTGTTTTATCCTCTTTTTCGTCATAGTTCCCCACTTTTAAAAACGAGTCGTTTGCTAAGGCTGGTGTCAACAAAAGCTTTTATTGGACTAACAATGTAGTTTTCAGTTCTGAAACTTACAGGATATTCTTATAATATGATGACCCCTTAGATGTCAAAAGCTCAAGGAAAATTTGATTTCTCAGTTCATCACCCCTTTAACTTTAGCCTCTAGCTGAGTTATAGATCATGTCACTTAGCTTCATTAACGTATCTGTAAATAACCGAGATAACAAATGTTAACAATGTTGTGCTGAATGATTCATGTAAATACTGTAGCACCAAACGGTGATGGCAACGACACTTTTGCCAGGAACTGAAGCTTTTCATCGATCCTCTCAACAATAAAATTATTAATATAACCCTAAAATGCATAGTTAAGGCCCTTAACTAGATGATATATAATCTTTCTGTCTCCAGAAATCACCAATTTCCTCCAGTGAAATGTGAAGGGGGCGTGGCTTAGCCATAGGTCAATAGCTTGTTTTCACGTGACGTCACGCCACTGCGTTGCCATGGCGCGAAATGCAGATGGAGGACAGGAAGTGATTTTCTATATTTAGGAAGCACTATAACACACTCAAAATGCTTATGTTTTGCGTCGTTTATGGTTGCTCAAATCGATCAAACCACGAGGAGTTTTTATCGTGTGCCAAAAGTTGTTGTTCATAAGGGTGGAAAATACAAGAAATTGACAGAAAAACACGGGGAAAAATGCCTTGCAAACCTACGTCTGCGGTCGGGAGGAGCCGAATGGGAAAATGCCTGTGTGTGTGCAGTGATCACTTCGTCAAATCTGAGTTAATACATTATTTATGTGGCTTATAATTACATTATTCAGGTGTTTAAATACACTTATGTGGCTGTTGTTATCTAACGTACCAGTTTCCGAACTTTGTTAGTTGCTGATATCTATAGCCTCAATGGCAGGCAAATCTCTCAATTCAGTTGAAAATCGGTCCTCTTCATAACGTAAGGATCACGTCCAACATATGTTTCGATTTTCTGTTTATATATTTCTCTTGTAATAGCGTCTAAAGTAGTACAGTACGGATTTTCCTCCATCTCGTCCATTGCGCTCTTCACTCCTTGCCCTCCATCTGCATTCCGCGCGTCAACACAATCATGTGACTGCAAACCACCTATTGCACTGGGAGAGGACATGCACATTTTTTAGGCTCAAACCAGAATCCCTAGTCAACTCCCAATCTTCCTGCATTGATTTTCAACGCGTGCGCATCCAATCAATGGTGACGTGACCGGCCAATGACACGTGACTGAGCCGCGGCCCTGATGAGCGATGGACGTGGCGGGATGTTGGTTTAGCGAAAGGATTGGGAGGGACACGTTCGGAAGACGCCTCTATTCTGGATGTCTAAAAAACACACTAATGTTCAGATTAATCAAGTCGCAATCTGAACCCTGTTATTCAGGCTTCATTGAGCCGTGCGTCCATTGTTTGTCATGTAGATGGTTTATGCAAATGAGACTCAGTGACAGGAATTGCTGAAAAGGGAATCATTAAGAAACTCTCGAAACTGTTCCTCCCGGCCCCTGCAGTTTTTCACGAGAGGGAGAACGGGAGGGACGGGATAGGGGAAGATGGAAAAGGGGTCTGAGGGGAAAAGGGACTGCCTGCAATTAAAGTTTGCTAACAAAGTGCTTGTGAAAGCCGACTGATAATGAACCTGGTGCAAAGTGGCAAGTCTGAATGCCATCAGGGTGCATCAAAATGGACGTCAGGCTCATTTGTTCATTTGATCGATGCTCTGACTTGAAGCCACCTCTGATCAACTTGGCGTCTAACAGGGGATTCAGGCTGAAGAATAGCTGGGTGAGTTTTCAACTGTAGGCGCCCTGCGGACTCCTTTAAACGTACCTTTTAGGCTCGCTAGTTTGTTTAATTTGTCTGCTAAAAATATCCCACTGTGACTATTGATGTATCGCTGGTGACTTCTGTCATTATTAACATTTGCACCACATGAAAATTAGGGTGATGGAAATAATAATGATGAAACGTTTCTGAAATAAACTGTCTGACTAGGCTAGTTTTAATATAATTATCATAAATATACCAATTTTATGAATAAAATAAAAACAAATAAATACAATAATATCACATTTAACAAAATAAAATCATAAATATTCTATATTTTGTATTTAATATAAAAATATTTAAAAATGGTATTAATGATTAATGTGTACGTGTGTGTGTGCGCGTGTGTGTTGGGTAGTTATTGAGTTGTTTGTTCGTTTTTATTCTGTTTTTTGTATTTTATTTTTTTTTATTCTGTAATTGTTTCTACTGTCAATTGTACACAATAAGACAGTGGGCACCAGGAATTCAGGATGATACAAAATTAAAATGACACTCAGTTTCAGTTTCCCTCTTTTCAACTTTTGTTTACTTTGTTGTATTAAAAGAAAAGTCATTCTATGAGATCCAGAAAGTGTTCAGATGCCTGTAAACCTCACGGCGCTTCATCAATATAACTGTGTGTTTTACTGTGCTTTTCATTCTCGTGTTGTGCTTGTTTGAGAGACGCTCATTTATTTCAGCGCTCACCTGCAAATCTTCAGGGGGTGCGATTAATCACGATTAATCACGATTAATCGCATACTAAAAATGTTTTCATAATACATGCAAATATTTCTTAAATATATACATGCATGTGTGTGTATCTTTATATACAACATAATTATACACAGTACTCACGCATGCATGTATATTTTTAAGAAATATTTGCATGTATATACTGGATATATGTTTATATATAGCCTAATTTATATAAACATTTTATAAATAAATAACGGATTTATCTTAAATATATACATGCATGTGTATTTATATATATACACAAAATAATTATACACAGTACACACATATATATTATGTAAACACAAACTTTCATTTTGGATGCGATTAATCGTGATTAATCGCGATTAATCGTTTCGCAGCCCTAGTTTGTGCCCATGATAAACTGATTGTTCTCACTCCTCTTTCCCCAGCTGAATGCGGTGGGCGTTTTAAAGGCGAGACATCTGGACGCATCTTGTCTCCAGGTTATCCGTTCCCCTACGACAACAATCTGCGCTGTACGTGGGTCGTCGAGGTGGATTCGGGAAACATCATCAGGTGATGGTCAATATTTGCTTCAAATGTGAATATATATTGTGCTGTCTGTCCTCCACCGATCGGTTCATTACCAAACTCTTAAGAATACAGCCAGTGAATTCAGCGGAGGCGAGAGGCTTTATCTATTAAAGCTCTAATGGTGGAGCTGGCCATTGACGCTGCATCTGTACGGAGAGAAAGGAAGACGTCAGATGTGCCTTATAAATCTCTTTGTTTTCCACCTACACTGCCAAGCTCATTATAAAGCTTAAAACACTGTTGCACTTTTAATGCTGCACTACAACCTAATCATTTTCAACTCCAAAGCGTTTTGAAATTGCACACTCGTTCATTATTTGTTCATTTGCCGCTGATGTCTCGATCAGACTAGATTGTTAAATTGTAGTCAAGGACTGACGCTCAGAATGGAGATGCAATTGTTCTCCTCAATTATTGAACCCTGGAGCATAATATTTGAGATATGACTAACTCTAGCTTTGTGATTTGTCACGACTCTGCAAAGAATTGATCGTTTATTTCTGCCTAATCAAACTGTTCTATCTGCCTGGGTTCAGAGAGATGTAAATATGTTATTTTAGTATCATTGAGATACTATTATTGGTTATATTAATATTTAAGTTTATATTTTTATATTTTCTATTTTAATTTAAAGTATATATATATATATATATATATATATATTATTTATACATTACGCATATACATTTGTGTATTATATATATATATATATATATATACATTATTATATAAACTTATATTATATAAACTTATTATATCATATATTATATGAACAAACTTTTATGTTAGATATGATTTATACTATATAAATACACACACATGCATGCATATATTTAAGAAAATGTGTATTCATATATCAAATATTTCATATATACACATACACACACATATACACATATATATATATGTGTATAGTATTTACGTGCAAATAATTCTTAAATATATACATGCATGTACAGTATATGGATTTATATATACAAAATAATTATACACAGCACACACACATATATTATAAACACAAACTTTTATTTTAGATGCAATTAATCGCAATTAATCTTTGCACAGCCCTACTATACATATAATGTCTATATAGTTAATTGTTTCTATTTTAGTTTTAGTTTGTCATTTTAGTACATTAAGTTAAACTACATGAAAATGAGCAATAATGCCTTGCCAACCACCTGAAATAAAATAAGTTTAAGGTTGTTGTTTTTTCCAGTTTCAGTGGCAATTTTTTATGGGTTTCGTCGTTGTAATTTTAGTAAACTATAATAATTTTACCAAGCTGTTCGTTTAATGCATTGTGGATAATAACACCTGTTATGTGTCTGACAGCCCTTTATTTCCATCGCTGTACACTGTGCATCTAATGAAGCGTGACTTGAGCAGACCTAATGCATGTATGCGTGTTCACCTTTACATGAACAGCCTGCAGTTTCTAGCCTTCGACACGGAAGCGTCCCACGACATCCTGAGGGTCTGGGACGGGCCTCTGGAGAACGAGATGTCTCTGAGGGAGGTGAGCGGCTCTCTTCTGCCCGAGAACATCCACAGCACGCTCAACATGGTCACAGTTCAGTTCGAGACCGACTTCTACATCAGCAAGTCTGGATTCGCCATCGAGTTCTCCAGTGAGTTGATCTGTGGTCTGTGTGACAGCATACAGTAACTGCTCATAAGGGGTTAACTGACTTAATTGCTCTGATGTGATCACAGGCTCGGTGGCCACGGCCTGCAGGGATCCAGGAGTGCCCATGAACGGCAGTCGTAATGGAGACGGTCGCGAGCCTGGAGACACCGTGACCTTTCAGTGCGATCCTGGGTATGAACTGCAGGGAGACGTGAAGATCACCTGCATACAAGTGGAGAACCGCTACTACTGGCAGCCAAGCCCTCCTGTCTGTATAGGTGAGGGGTTATACTGGGATTCACTTAAAGGGATGGATAGTGTTTGACTTTAGAATTATTCGGGTTGCATTTATCATTGCATTAGCCGCACAGCATAATTGCCAACGTCACATTTAAATGTCTTTGGAAAACAAGAAAAACACAAAATTACTTAGGCAATTATGCTATGAGGCTAACGATTTGTTTCATCTTGTAATTTTCTTGCAATAATATTAAATAAACATTACAAATATACAATCCATTATTAAAAACTAAATAAGAATGAGCAACAGGGTTGCTTTCTACACTAGTTTGTGATCAAATGTTTGAATGGATTATATTAAATTGACATATAATTGCTATATTTTAAATAAAAGATATATGTTTGGGGTTTTTTTTATTTTTTTTGTTGTTTTTTTTATTTGAATGATTTAAGAAAAAGTGTTGGAGTTTGAAGAATTCCGTCAATACAACAATTATGAAAGAAAGGAAGAAGAAATTTGTTTATTTTAGTGCTATTTTAGGATCATTCATATCATATACTATTTATTTTTCTAATTTTATTTTTTATTCCTTTTTTTATTTTATTTCAGTTTTAGTTAGTTTACTTTAGTACATCAAGTTAAACTAAATGAAAATCAGAAATGTTGACATAAAAGTTTTTTTTTTTTTTTAGTTAACATATATTTATTTAAAGCAACAGAAATATATATATATATATATATATATATATATATATATATATAGTTTTTGTATCTAACAGTTTGCGCAACAAAGCAGGATTGGTGTCCATGATGTTTTTAAAAAGTTATGATATGTCATTAGTAAACTGTCTTTTCGATATCTGTAAACATTAGACAAAACCTCATACTGTACATAAAAAGTATTGTTTTACTCATTTTCATAACACATATTCATGGTTCTGAGACATCCAAGCGGCTTAGAGTTAATTAGTACATATTGCTTTAGATGCTGACAACTGAACTGAACATGTATCTAAAAGTTCTTTAAGCAGTTTTTTCTCAAGAGCTGCACTCAGTGTGAAGGACCTGACAACCATTGAGATTCCCCATCATCGCAGTGACATGAAAGTCAAATTAATGAATATCAAATTACCAGATACGGATTGTCTCTTTCTTTCAAAAGACCCTTCACATTGGAAGCAGGAAAGTGAGGCTGCAGGATTTTCAGGACTTTCCTTTCATATTTTAAATAACCTTTCTCTCTTGCCATAGTTCTCATTCTCATATATAAGATATGAGCGCTTTACATGGCCGTCTCCTCGGAGGAGCTTAAATATCTCTGTCTGTGCGTGTTCACTCCTGCGCTCTTTCTCTGGGTTGCTGGTTGGCACAGATGTTCAAGCCGCATGTTTTAATAAGAGATTCTCCTCATGTGTTACTAATGCCCATATGCTGCTGATACGAGTCCTCTGTGTTTTCCCAGCTCCATGTGGGGGCAATCTCACCGGTTCCTCTGGGTTTATCCTGTCGCCCAACTTCCCTCATCCGTACCCGCACAGCAAGGACTGCGACTGGCTCATCGCCGTCAACTCTGATTACGTCCTGTCTCTGGCATTCATCAGGTAAACTCATCTATGAGCTATTCTGTAGGCCCATACACAAAAAAATATATATATTTGAAATTTGGAATATATGCAAATATTTGAAATTGGCCCAATAAATATATTTTAGTTAAATATATGTAAATACATTTTTATTTTATTTTCAATGTTTAAATGACTTCAGGAAAGATGTCATAGTTCTAGGAAAGCAACTATCTGTCATTTTACATTGCAGTCATTTAAATGTAAGCACAGTATTTATTATTGTTGTGTGTCATAATACAGTAGTGAAATATGGTAGCCTACTGTACTGTTGTATATAGGGGAAAAGGTAGAGTAATTACTATGATCAAAATACCGACTTTAGCAAGCTAAACATTTTATGATCATATATTTTGTTATATATTTTACATTACGTTATAAATGTAAATATATTGCACACTTAACATCATATATTTGTGTTATATTGGAGAATATATTTTAAAATGATAAATATAAGTGAACAACAACGCAAATATATTTCAATGTATTTGGAATATATGCCACACATATGTTTGACACTATAAAATATATTTATATATATTTATTTTGTGTAAGCGGGGGCTGTGCAATTCGTACAATCATATTAAATGAACGGATGGAAATTCCCAAACAAAACAATACAATATACTTCTTGATAGAGAGAGTGAGAGAGAGAGAGAGAGAGAGAGAGAGAGAGAGAGATAAAACTACACTGTTATATAGTTTTTATTTATATTCTGAATTCGTTTGAATTCTTTTAATACTTTCTGTTTTAATTTTAGTATTTTTTTAAATATGTCTTTTATTTAAATTTTTATTTCAGTTTTAGTTATTTAAGTACATCAAGTTAAACTAAGTAAAAATAAGAAATGTTAAAATATGTATTTTTTTTCATTTAAAATTATTTATTTAAAGCAGCAGAAATGTTTTATAGTTGTATTTATTATATATTTTTTCATTTTTATAATTTCTTATAATATAATATACAGTATATAGGCCTATATATGTTTTACTATAATAAATTAAATATCAAATTTAATTCAAATAATTATGGCATTAATTTTTGTATGATTTAATATGTTATATAAAGATCTCTGCTATATATATATATATATATATATATATATATGGTTTACAACTAGCTACTCTTACATTTAATATATATATATATATATATATATATATTAAAAAGGAAGAACATACAGTATACAGTACGAATATACAGTATTTATGCAAGCATATCATATTTGTCGTACAAATATCATTTTTATTTATTTTAAGAATGATAAATTTATGATTTATGAATCAGTGTTGTGCACAAAAACACATAATAAATAGTCATGGAATCATTGAACAAAGAGAGGGAGAAAAACAAACACAACTATATTGAATATTTATCATGTATGCATAATCATACAATAGTAAATATTTATTTATTTATGTATATAGAGTTTATATATGCATGTATGCGTATGTGTACATATATATATATATATATATATATATCAAATATATTCTAGACCTCTGTCGTCATCTTTGATGACAATCCGATGTTTATTAGCAGCTTCAGCTTTAGTGTTTGTGGTATAATGTCGTGAGGTTTGTATACTTGCCTTCGTTGTCCAGGAAGTTTTGTGAATGCAGACCGTGCGCTTCTCTGTGGGAAGGTTAATATCTGCTGAACCCTCAGTTGTGCTCAGGTCAGCGCAGTTTAAATTGTGGCCGATGAAACGATCGGAAATAATCTCACAGTGCGCTTATTCCTGGTGTTTGGTTTATGCCTTCACTCGAGCTATAATATCTCCAGCTGATGAGTTCACGAGTTCATTTAGAGGCTGCTGTGTCATAACGCTGAATTTAAAACGAGCGCCCACGGTGTCCTTCGACATGGCCGCAGTCGACGTGTTGAGTAATTCTGTAGCGTGACTGCTATCAATGTCTGAATTAAAATGCATTTCATGTCTGGGAGAGATAATGAGCCCAGCTGGAATTCTTTGCTCATTTTGTCTGTAATGAACCTGACGGTGGTCCTTTTTTTTTAGCTTCCCCTCTTCTTGCCTTAAAGGTGTAGAGCGGTGTCTCTGCCTTGAGTGATGTGACCAATTAGTATAAAAGCAGGGTTGATAAATTCCTTCACACTCCAATCATGTTGCTAATTAAGTCCATTTTTCATTTAGCCAACACGAAGCGACGCTCGAGCCACAAGCGGATCCTCCATCCAGGCGGGGTCAGCGTGAGGTTAAGTCGTGTGCTGTAGTAGTTTGTCCAGTCGCCAAAGTCTTAATGTTAATGCTAATAGCGCCGCTAGCAAGCCATTCCCTTCCACCTGGATAAAAGCATGTCGCGAGGGTATAGTCCAGGCATGAGACCGTGGAATTATAATCAGAATTCGCGCACAGACAGTGGAAGAAGAAGAAGAATAAGTACTTAGGTCTCTCATGCTCACACTTGCGAGTGTTGAACGTTTAAACTCTTTGACTCATCATCTAAGAGCAGTGTCTTTAATGACAGCGATAGCTCAAAAACAATCTTCCATTCTGCCTATGTGTCCCATTTACAGCATTCATCACAACAGGAATTGCCATTTGAGGCTGTTTTGTGAGTTTTCTAGTGCCTAATATTTTTCAAAACCTTCACAGCTGCTAGTTAGAGCCATACATCAGGCCCAAAACAGATGAGGAGGAACTTTTTCTCTTTTTTTCTTAGTGTCATCCTCATGCTTGGCGTTATGTAGCCTCTTTCTCATTTGAATTTCGTCCTCTCCGAGTAAACAAGCGTGTTGGAGTTCTGCCAGGACGGCAATGTCTCAAACAAGTTTCTAATAAATAGCTCTCGTTCGGTTCCATCTCAAAGACTTTCATTACACAGTCCATTACTGACTCCTTTCTCCTTAAAAAATCCACCGTATGAAATATGTCCATAATGAAATTGAAAATGAACAATACACTCCGGGAAAAAAAAGTGACCTCTTTTAGCATCACTACAAATGTAATCCCATCCGGGTGTCTGTCTACGTAGCATTAGGACAGTTTGTGCCATCACCCTTATTTCGGCAGAAATATTTGTTTTCTGATTGACAGGTACAGAGGGTATGAGTACGGGGGGAAGCAGATGCATCTGTTTATCCGAAATTAATGACTTTTTTAATGTGGTGTAAAGGATCTTATCCTGTATATGAATTATCCTATAATAACCCCTAAGCAGTGGATTCTGACGCAGTGAAGTGTGGTAGGCATGCTTAGCATTCTCTCTCTGCATAATGGGAGTGTAAATCTGATTCACTCACAATCCATCGCATCCAAATGACTCTCCACTGATGTGCGAGACCTTATCATTGCACCTTACTGCAAATGAAAAGGTGCAAGTGTTTATAAGTATGTCTCCGGAATCTCAGATTCTGCACTGGTGTTTGAGTCAACGCCTGGTTATTTATATGTTCATGGTCAGCTGTCATACAGCCCATATGGACAATACAGAGACATACCTCAACGTACCTAGTACTGTACACAGCAAGTTAGCTTGCACAGCAGGCATTTCGATGGACAGTTGTTAAATAATTTGTCATGGAGCACTCAAAAAAATAACTTGCTTTATTTCAGCATTATGCAGTTCTGTTTTTCCAATTAACTTAATGTACACTGTAACGGATTTCTGTAATTTGAACAGTATTTTACTGTAATATGTAATACTGTTAAATATGCCAACAGTATAGACCTTATGTAGCCCCGCCCTTTTTTAGCGTTGCGCTCGTTGTCTTTTGACTTCCGGTCTGTATTTTCACAGCGATCTTGCATAGGTATGAATGAACTGCTCGTAAAAAAATTAAAGACATCTGCTTTACAATGCTTATGATAAACATTACAATACTCATGATAACTTTTGTTAACTCTACAATAAGTAAATCCACTTCACCAGCTAATTACTCCTCGACAGCGATGCCATTGAAATATGCAGAGCGACCGTGAAACCGGAAGTTCAAAGACAATATTCTAAAGATGACGGCGCCCACGTTTCTCTGGTGCATAAGGTCTATAATACTGTAAATAGCTATGAATTGTGGGAAAATATGTGTTTACTACTGTAATTATTTTCTACTGTAAAAAAAAATCGGATATCAATTCTAATACTGTAAATAAAAATACAGTAGTTGTACTCATGAATACAATATACAGTATTATTCCTGTAAATTAAAATATGGTACTTGTACTGTAAATGAAAAAATACAGTACTCATACTGTAAATATTAATACAGTATACAATTGTATCACTTTAAATGAAATTACAGTTGTAAACACTTTTACAGTAACTTACTGGCATCCAATTTACAGCAAATTTTTACAGTGATGAAGGTTATTTCAGCTTATTTACTATGGTTGGGCACAGCTTAATTAAAATTGTCAGTGAATTTAAAAAGTCTCCCTGGTATGATACAGGTATTCAAATTCATATATTTGTTCATATGCAATAAAATGTATTTCAGTGTCACACAAATACATTTCTAGACAGCTACCAATAGCACTTGTTAGCATCTTAATTTATAAGATTTACATGCTTCATCGACCAAAGTGGTAACCACAATGGTAACCCACTGTAATTTAAATGGTACTAATAATTGCAATGTAATTAAACATTAAACACAATTATGCACTATTAAGTCTTCCCCTTTTCTAATTTTCTCAAAAACACATAAAATAACACTTAATTTATACATTTATTCTGTCTTAATTCATCCATATGCAAAGCATGCTGGGAACTAACAAGCACAGCCCGGTTTCAGTTAATGCAATACAAACGGATTAAGTAAATTTAAATTTGACATATTTAAGTAGATTGAACACAATCAGATTAAGTAAGGACAAAATGTATAGCAATATTGTACAGTAGCTTTTTTGATTGAATGATCCTAAGAACACCAGCAAATCAACAACAGAAATGGCTGGAATCACTGTGTTGCACCGGCCCAGTCAAAGTCAGACCTCAACCCGACTGAAATGTTGCAATCCACAATGAACTAAAGCAACGTTGTAAAGAAGAGCAGGACAAAACTCCCCCAAAATGATGCAAGAAACTGATGCAGAAACCCATTCCTTAAATGTATTGCTTCTAAAAGTGTCTGTACAAACACCTTGGCTTTTCCATTTTGGCTTTATTTTTGTTAAATAAATAAATACAACATGGTGTAATAAGCAATTTCTTGCTGTTCATCTGTGTTTGCATTTATCAAAAATATTTAATGGAGTAAGGCGTGTGACAACTTGCCCCGGTCTCCCCTATCATTTTAAAACATTCTCTCTGATTCGTTCGCAGACGAAAGTATCAAGTAAAACACGTACAAAGTTTATCTCAGGACTCGTATATCTGTATCCAGATCAAGAGCTTTTGATCCCTCTATTCAGAAGTCCTCTTTGATCATTTCTCCTAGCTTCAGCATAGAGCCCAACTACGACTTCTTGTATATCTACGATGGAACGGACAGCAACAGCCCTCTGATCGGGAGCTTCCAGGACAGCAAGCTTCCCGAACGCATCGAGAGCAGCTCCAACACCATGTACCTGGCCTTCCGCAGCGACGGCTCTGTCAGCTACACCGGCTTTCACCTGGAGTACAAAGGTAGAGTCTGACACTTCACCGGCCTAAACGTCCAAACCCTTAGTTAGATACACATAATTCTGACTGCACAGTCAAATTAATTGTCACTATTATTCAGTTGATGGTTCACCCGTGAACATTTACTCACTCTTATCTATTTTTTTTTTCTGTGTGATTTTAGTATAATTAAGATACTATTCTAGTTTTAGTAAAAAAAAGACAATTTTTGTAATTTACAGAACTTTTTCTTTGTCTATATAGTTTTATTATTTTTTTGTTATTTCAGTACATCAAGTTAAACTAAATGAAAATGAGAAATTTTGTGAGGCTACTTTAGCTGAAATAAAATGTTTTTTTAATATTTTACTTTATTTCAAGGCAACAACTTTTTTTAATAGATTTAGTTTCAGTTAACTATAATAAGTAGTTAATATAATAAGTAGTTATATACGTATATGTGTATGTATAAAGCTCTAAACAAATATAACATTTCTTTTTGCGCTCTGCTGTTGCACTCTATGCATACATTTCGAATTATGAAAATGAAAAGTGTTTTTAATTTACCTTGAAGCCTTCAAAATATGTTTTAAGTCTTAATATATTTTCCTTTTGTTAACTTTTGTTCTTAAACACACTGATAATATCCCTGTTCACTTTTTCTTTTCTTTTTTAGGGGTGGTTGATTAGTATTTCACTTTTCTAACTTTATTTAGTGTGTAATGTTGCTGTTTGAGCATAAATGACATCTGCAAAGTTACAACGCTCAAAGTTCAAAGCAAAGGGAGATATTTGCTTTTAAAGAAATCATTTTTTTAAGGACTACAACAAACAGCTGGTAGGAACTACACAAGCTTCCTCCCGGGTTAGTGACATCACTAACCCTAAAATTTATATAAACCCCGCCCCCAGAAGAGGAAGAGCTGTTGAAGTCACTCTGTGTGCATCTCACAACAGTTCCTATACGAGCGATGTATAGAAGTTAACTCCACATCAGCAACATAAATTCATCAACTAACCATTCAGAGGCGTCCCGTTGCATTCTACATGTTGTCACTTCTTCTTAGTCTCTCCATCTTTGTCTGACTCCGGTTTAAACATAAAAGGCAGATCAGTTTCTGACATTTTAGGGAGGTAATTGGAGCTGCACTCTTGAAGCTCCGCCCACTGTGTCGGGAGCTGCAGCTCATTTGCATTTAAAGGGCCAGACACAAAACGGTCACATACACACTCTGTGGACATCAGAGACTTAGGGTGTATTCACACCTGCCTTGTTTGGTTCGATTGAATCGAACTCTAGTTCTTTTGCCACCTTGGTGCGGACCTTTTGGGCAGGTGTGAATACAGCAATCGAACTCGGGTGCGGACCAAACAACCGAACCGAGACCCAGCTGAAGAGGTGGTCTCGGTACGGTTCCAAACGAAGTCTGGTACGGTTCGTTTACGGTGTGAACATGAACCGACCCAATTGCAAGAAAGCACTGCGTCGAAAGAGAATATTGCGCGTCTTTCTGCGCGTCGTGTGTGAATGTCTAATCGCGCAAAGATGCAAAAAAAATATCATTTGCAGTTCATAAAGCATTTGCAGTTCACCACCTTTTGGTGGTGGTTGGCGAGTTTCCCCCTTAAAGCGAGTGCCGAGAAAAATTCTATATAAATGTAATGAATTATTATTATTATTAATGTAAGGATAGTTACAATACAAGGATGATGATGCGTTAATTTACGTTAAACTGGACAAACTTAATCGCAAGCGTTAACATTGACAGCACTTGTTAGTACACAATAAGAATCTCATTATTTGAATGGGTGAACATAGCCCCTCTCTATGAATGAAAACTTTATACCTTCTCCGTCTTCTGTGCAGTGCCACTTGTAACGCAAAGTTGAGATGTTGCCCAGAGATAAAAAAAAACAGAAGGTGGTCGAATGAAAAGATGCACGAGAGACGAGAGTTGTCGTATTTCCCCGCGTTTATAGAGCCACTCAAACGTTACACTCGTCGTCTTCTCAAAATCCGAATTACAACTTCGTATAGATGACATTGTATCATATGATACTCATTAGTTTCTTCATATTGCATTTGTACAGAATTAACACAAAATTAGTAAAAGAACAAATATTGCAGTATGAAATATATGGAAATATCTCCATGCTGAGCCTTTTTTGCACTTCCTGATTTCCCTTGAGAATCCTTGTCCAATGAATGGACGACCTTAGCACACGTGTGGTTTGGTTTACAAATTTTGGTTCACTTGCAAAAAGAGCAGTGTGAAAGCGAACCGTACCAAAAATAAATAAATAAATAATTTATTTGGTCCGGACCAAAGCAAGTGAACTATCGGACTTTCCTGGTGTGAATACACCCTTATTTTAGATCTTGTGAAAAGGGCATATTACCACCCCTTTACGAATTACAATTTATAGTTGCCAGACAAGCTTCAACCCCACTAAAAAAAGTATATTTGTTTATGGTTTCAACCAATAACCATCCATCCCGCAAGCTAAGATACACCTAAAGTGATTTCAATCCTTGCTTTTCCTCCATCTTTCACAGCTAAACTGAGGGAGTCATGCTTTGATCCCGGTAATGTGATGAATGGCACTCGGCTGGGTAGTGACTACAAGCTGGGCTCCACTGTGACCTTCTACTGTGAGGCAGGCTACGTCCTCCAGGGCTATTCCACGCTTACCTGCATTATGGGTGATGATGGCAGGCCTGGCTGGAACAGGGGGCTGCCCAGCTGTCAAGGTACAGTCCGCAAGTAAAGATGGATGTTTAAGAGAATCTCTGAGAATAACCGAAGAAAAACAGCTCGACCAAACAAAATGAATCAAACAGTTAAAATGACTTGTACATGCTTCGCAAGCCAAGATTATTTTCCATCCAGACTGGTGTCTCAAAAATAGCAGTTCATCATGAATGTTTAAGCATAAAATAATGAGTGATCTGGGTATTTGTGTGTACAGCACCATGTGGAAGTCGCTCTACTGGGACAGATGGAACCGTGCTGTCGCCGAATTTCCCGAGGAACTACACGACGGGACAGAGCTGTGTGTACGCTATCGCTGTACCCAGGGAGTTCGGTGAGTAACTGGAAATGCAAAACAAGATTGGATGCAGTTGCACCACATTTAGCAGAAAGGCAAAAATTCTGGAGTGATGCTTTTTCAATGCGTTTGGGGTTTTTAACACATTCTAGAGGCTTTTTGTGTGGCAAAATGTGCTCAAATCTCTCTTTATTGTGTCTGCATGTGGTTTTAAACATGTTTAACGTTAACATGTTCATTAATAAAGTCCTAGTTTAAAAGTCTCATCAGGTCTTGTTCACATGTTTATACATATTCAGATTCATTTTGAGTGTATAAAATCATGTTAAGTTGCAGTGTGCTTAATAGTATTGAATGTACACTTCAAATCTTGAAAGTATTTTTAATGATCGTGCTTGTATATAATATAATATTATTGAAGTAAAAGGCCACAAAGTAGTACACTTTCATGATTGTTTATTAACACACTTTAAGTGCACTTTCGTAATGTAAAATTTTAAGTTTTATATAAGTACACTTATTTTGATGTGTTGACTGACATACTAAAGCACCATGTAAAGTGCTGGATGAAGTTCATATTTTCAACTTCATCATTACACTTGTGTTATTTAGATATTTGACATAAAAGTTTGAAGATAAAGTTTACCACAAATGCAGTGCATTTGGCTGTACACTAACCATACTGTATTTCAAAAACAATAGAATTATGAAATTACATATAAAAATTTACTTTCTTAAATTTTGGTGGTCAAAACACCTCATCTAATTGCATTAAATATCAATTTAAACTATACTTTTTCATTTAGTTGCAATAAACATGTGATGTTAATACTTGAGGCACTTGAGGATATTCTTATTAAGTATACTACTATTTTAAAAAGTATGCTAAAGTGTACTTCTTCACAAGGGTGACTCTCATCTGAATTGTGTTGAAGTGTACTAGTCTCCTGCATTCATTTACATTTAATTTGCTATTTCCTTGACAGAATGTGTGTAGCTTTGGCAGCTAGGTTCCTCATCTTTCATTTATACTTTAAAGCCATCTGTCGAATATGGACCTGTCTAGAAGCAAGATGTTGCGCTGTGAGAATATTTCATAGTCTTGAGAGCGTAGCCAGTCTGGTGTTGCACGAAGACCTGACCTTCCAAACCAGCAGTGGAGAAAGAGATGAAGACATGAACTGAAATGAATTTGGTTTTGCATGCAGCTCTGATTCAGAGTCTCTGTGTGTAACTGAAGCGTTGGAGAAGCTGCACTCTAAAAAATACTGGGTTGTTTCAACCCAAAATTGGGGTAAAATATGGACAAACCCAAATGTTGTGTTGAAAATGGGATTTAAAAAATTTACAGTCCATATTTTACCCAAATTTGGGTTGAAACAACCCAGCATTGTTTAGAATGTGTGGCTTGTTTAGGTAGAGGCGACTAATAATTTAAAGGAGTCAAGCTACTCTTTTTTTTAAAAAGCAGTTAGCTACTAACTAAACAGAACCAACTACTTTTTAAGACCTTTTCTGCCATTATTCTTCCGGGAACGAACACGTCACAATATTCCTCATTTAAATAATTAATAGGCAGAATAAAGGGACGTGGGCCTGGTCGAGTTAGTTAGTAGTGTGTTAAACTGGTGGTTGTGGTAAGGGGCGGACATTTCCCAAACACACTCGAAGCAGATAACCAATCACAACACACTGCTCCAGCCGACCAATCAGAGTGCAGTGTGCTTTTCAGAAGGCGGGACATAGAGACAGGAACTAAACAGAGCATTACTGACAGACTGGGAAGAGAGGAGCTGCAACATTGGAGAATATGTGGAAAATAATCATTTCATTTCATGAAAACTTATTCTAGTAGAGCCCAAAAATGGCCCAAAACTATTTATTTTTGTTAATTTACATTGTAGATTGGTATATTGTACATTGGTGACTTATTTGTTAAGTGTGGTGCCCTATCTGTGTGTGTTGAAGCTGCCGTGACAATGCATTTTCCTGTAAAGGAACAATAAAGTATCAACAACACCAAAATCAAGAGTTTGTAAAAGGGCATAATAGGTCATCTTTTAGCTACTTAAAGGGATAGTTCATCCAAACCTGTATCACGCACTTTAATCCCTTTGATTTATTGAAAAAAAGTTCAGATTGTGTCAGTAGCTTGTATATTACCTGGAATCATTGACCTGCTGTATTCCAGGGAGGCTTGAAATGTTTGCAGACAGCCTGTGATTGTAATATCCAGACGCCAGTTGGAAAATAGTACAGAGATGAAAGTGTGAAATGAGAAAGCACTTCAGACCTCTCTTGTCTTTGGTTTCATTTCTGTGCTAAAGGAAAGCCTCTTTGCTATCTCAGTCCTGTGCCAAGAAGGCTGTGGTGTTATGAGATATTTGGTGACAAAAGAAGAAAAAAAAACCCTCCTCTGTAAATGTATCTGTCAGTTTAACGGTTCTGGGTATTTTGGACCTCCCTCACAAGCATCGTTTGGCATTATGTGATGTCTCCCTGAGGCCTCTCTCTGGTCATTGAACTGCTCGCACTCGGATGGAAGGTACTAAACCAGATAGATGTCATTTGAAATGAAGCCTTAATAAAACACAAACATGATAGCTTTGCAAATGAAAAGGAGTGAAAATGAATCGTCAGCAACTGAGGTGTTTTAGCCCCTGAAACGCATACATCACTCCATTGAACTCGCCGTTCTCAACATTGGCACGTGTACACGTAGTACTAAACATACTGTGAAATATTGCCTGCTTGTTCAGTTCCCAACATAAATATTGACATTCAAATGCCTCTACTATACAGTACTCTAAAGTATTTCTGTCAAGTGAGTGGGGCACAGATTGTGCCAAAGCTTTTCTTTCTGACTAGACCAATAGCAACTAGTACTAGCAGACAAATGCAAGGGAAACAAAGATATTTGCACTAATCTCCAAATTGAGGTTTGGGCAGAATTGGAAAAGCTAGTTCATCCTTTACTCACCCTCACGTCATTCCAAACCTTTCTTTCAGTCTATCTTATGTGAAACATAAAAGAATTCTGAAGAATATGATGAAAGTAAATGAAACTTTCTTTTACATTTTTACTTTTATGTTCCAGGGAAGAAAGAATGTCAAAAATGCTTGGAATGACATAAGGGGGAGACAGAATTTTTGTATAATTTAATTTAATGGGTAAATATTTTATTTGAAATGAAATATTTTGTGTTTTAAGAGCCATTCTAAATTCAATGATGAGTGGTATGCAACTCTGTTGATCATAGGAAGAAACAAAGGAATTATTCATGTATGTCTATGGATTTTAACCCCAGGTACTGAGATCTAGACATAAACAATCACAGCAATGTGTCTTGTTCCCCGGAGCTGTAGTTCAAACCATTAGTAATGATTGGAATTGCAAAAGGGCTGAGGTTATTTTACATCAATGAATAATTAGTAAACCATGCCTATTTTTTAAAGTGATATCCACTTAACGTTATCTGCAAAGGTACATCCATTGTGCTCAATTAGCAAAGCCAAATGTCACCGTGTGTAACTGTTTAAAAAAAATTAATCGGGCAAAATAATGTGCAAGATTTCACTGAATAGTAGAGTTGTGAAACGATTAATCGCGATTAATCGCATACTAAATAAAAGTTTGTGTTTTCATAAAATATATAATACATGGAAACATTTCATAAATATATACATGCATGTGTGTGTGTGTTTATATTTACAAAATAATTATACACAGTACTCACTCATGCATATACGTATTTAAGAAATATTTGCATGTATATACTGGATATATGTTTATATATAGCCTAATTTATAAACAATTTATATATAAATAACACGTTTATCTTAAGTATATGCATGCGTGTGTATTTATATTTACAAAATGATTATACACAGTACACACGCATATTTTATGTAAACAAAAACTTTAATTTTGGATGCGATTAATCACGATTAATCGTTTCACAGCCTTAGAGTTTGGTTCACATTTGAAATCATTCAATCACAAGATACTGGCAAAAAAGCAGAAGGAAGAAAACTGAACACAAATGGAGAGTGAAAAAGAGAGCAAATCCAGGAAGGGAGATGTGTAAGTGTGGTTTGTGCTGATGTTGCTGAGTTTCTCACCTGCCGGGAGGGGGAGATTTCATTATCATGCACCTGAAGTATCGTCAAACATGCAGGCCGGAACAGAGGGAACGATTAAAAGCTTAAAGTGCGTTGTAGAACAAAGCCTGGGCTGAGCGCTTGTGTTGGAGTGGAGATAAATATCTTACGGTTCCCATAAAAGCTTTTGTTATGTCGGATTCCAAACCAGCATGGAAGCGTATCATATAAGCCAGAAAAGTTCAGCGGTGTGTAATGATTCTTGGGATATTGTGAAGCCAGTTTTATTGGTGGCCATACAAAAAAATGCATTCAATCCACTGAGGCTGTGAAGGAATCATAAAATGGACATTGCCATTTCTTTGAGTAGTTTTTTGGCGCACAAGGCTGGTGGTCAAACCTGGGTTGTTTTTGGCCAATGCCGATATAATGTTGATATGTGAAAACTTTATTTAGTTATTTATTTCATTTAGCAGATGCTTTTTATCCAAAGTGATCTACAAAGAGGAACAATAAGTCCTTGAGAGACAGTGACACGGATTTCCACAGCTCCTGAGAGAAGTTAAAAGAAGTTAAAAAGAGTTAAGAAAGTAAAAACAAAAGCTTATTTGTAGGTTGAGTGCTCATTGTTGTGCTGTTTTTTGAAGGTAGAGTTGTTCCGATACCGTCGAGAAGATCTTTCCACCATCGAGGTTCACTGTGAAGATTCAGGAAGGGAATTTTGTACCTTTTTGTTGGTGCCATGAAGCACTGCTCTCACACTAACTGTAGATTTCTGGAGGCAATGTACATTCACAGAAGTAAGTGTGGAGAGTGGATGCAGATCCAGTAACTACAATGAATGATAGCAAATAATATTGCGAAATTGCTAGATTTTAGAGCCAGACCGATATATCGGTAGGCCGATATTATCGGCCGATATCAGGCATTTTCAA